CAGAAGATAAAGCAGGAGAACATCAGAACAGATGAACTTGGTACGGTTATATACCGATATTCATTAAAACAAACATACTGGATATTTGAAAGCGCAAAATGCCATATAGTAAAGAGTATCAAATAACTCTGTGTTGAAGAAATGTAACATCCTGCAGGAGATAAAAAGATCACCGATTAGAAGTTTAAATGTAAATGAACTGTATGTTAAACTAAAATAACACTTGAGATGAACAGGTGAGGGAACATAACGCGCAAATTTTGTTACGAAGAAGAAAAGATAGTAGTGTAGCAAAGGGGCCCTGGAAATAAAAATAAACAAATCAGACTGTGTGACAGAAAACCGGAAAAAGATAAATCACAATGGGCTGGCAAAGATTTGAAGTTTGAATATATACAGCTCTTACCGCTGAAGTTTCATCCAGAAGTTGCCTAAAGTGTTCCCTCTTCTTTTTGGTAAGTGCTTCAATGTGTTCATTAAAGAGCTTCTCTTTCTCTTCTCTTTCTAGCAAGGAGCCAGATTCCCATCGATGATCTTTGCGAAGAGTCCTTCTGGTATCAGACCATGACACATCTGAAGAACGCACCTGAGCCAAAAGATGATTATTTTTTAAAATATTTTTTCTACAGTTCACTGATATTTCTTATATACTTTATTTTATTTCTCTTAAGTTAAAGTTGAAATTAAAGATAAAAAAAACCCCAACAGCTTTGAAGTAAGAGGCTGTAGTAGCTCCCTCACAAATACTAGACAGGCAGAAGGAATCTCTTTGCATCAGTTCAAATGCAGATGGAGATACCCCACTGACCTGGCTGAGTATTCTCTCAAAAAGAAAAATCCAGCACCCTCCTGCTCTGTGCATAGCATACTATATTAACCATAAGTGGTCTGGAAAGGCAGCCTCAAAGAGAATTATTTCCAGAGAAGAATTATTTCCAGAGACACCAGGAGCTTTGCAGTGCCTAGCTTCTAGCCTGGAGAACATCCTCAAGGACCAGTTGCTTTATGTGATCAGCTATACCACCAGACCAGAGTGATGAGTCATTTATATCCTGCCCCCTCATAAAGATTTCAGTGCTGAAATCTCAACGGAGCACTAGTTATGTGTTTGGCTTTCATCTCTTACACCAGGGAGCAAGGGCATAGTGCACATACTGGTGAAAACTCATTTTGTAATCCTGTCCTCTCAACAGGACATTCGCTGTACAACAACTGCTCTCTCACCAATGAGCTGGGCCAGGGAACAAAGTAAACACACAACGTAGCAGAGAAACAGTAAGACAAAGGTGCCGAGTTTGGAGCATGAAGAGAGACAACCTGAAAATAAGGAGACCATTCCTAATGCTCAACAATATGTGATTTTCCAACAGACATACAGAAGTTTACAGGAGCATGACTGAAATCTGCCAACACGCGTGAGACTCCGGAGAAACACAGCAGAAATAATGCTATCCACTAACTCCCTGGGCAAGGTGCCACAACGTGAACCCCAATGCAAAGCATTCTCTTCCAACCAAGGCAGAACTCCCAACAGGGAGCGGAGGGCAGTGGGGAGAAACGGCAGGATTCTATTTCTATATAAACTTAACTGCAAATGCCCAAAAGCTTTTACATAGTGCAACAACCAGAAAAAAAATGCACTGACAAGCTGAGAAAGCCTGTCCACATCTCACCATGTCAGACAGAAGCGCTTTGAAGTTTTGTATAGCTTCTTCCCGTTTGTGCTGCTCACGTTCTCTATCTATTTCCTTGGTTTGCTCCGAACGAGCTTTCTGGACTTCCCTTTCTCGTTCACGCAAACTTGCCTCAATGCGAGCTTGTCTTTCCAGCTCCTTTTCTTTTTCAGAATCTAAATTCTGAAATGTAAGAACAAAGTTTTCTCAATAACAACAATACAACACCTTTCATATTTTCATTAGACAGGTAAGTAAATTAAAGGCTTATCAAACTAAAGGCATCTTGGAACAAAATATTTCAACGTGATTTGAGATGTATGTATTACAAAATTTTGCTTCCACAGCTCTGCTGAAGCATTATAGGGTTTACATGGGGGAAAGAGAAGTTTGGTCACAACGCTGATCACAGAACAACTATTCCCAGGAGCATGTTGTTTGTGTACAGTGACAAACTCGGAATAATGGGGGTCAGCGGGAGAGTGCTATCACTATTTGTGAGCCAAGTTTTACAGTCTCAACCATCAATTGCCTGGAAGAGAAAGGTAGGAATATTGCATTAAGAGAAGAACCAGTGAAGGAACTGTGTATGAACCATCTATATTCCTGAAGGAAGCTAAGCTGACAGAAAAAAAAAATCACAGCAACAGAAACCCTGCCCATGCTGGTAGGAAGTAATCAATGTGGTGTCTGTATTTTCTGAAGTATTACAGCCATTTTTACAACCAACGGCTTTACAGGAGTCGCTGCCTTTCTTGGTCCGCTGGAGAAATTCTCCCAAGTGTCATGTGCATGTATGCACGCACGCGTACGTGTCCCATCAACATCTGCAGCAGCACCACTGGTGACAGTACTTCTACAAATAACTGTGGTACAGAATTCTCCTTAGTATGGAACTAAAGCACATCTTAGCCTATCGCCTAGTTAGTCACTTCACGCATTAACAGCAACGTGACCAGCAGAACATCCAAAGTTATACCTCCGAATGTCACACGCGTACCTTAGCTATTTTTTCTATGTACTGTTTGAAAAGGTCTTCCCTCTGTGAGGAGCTATCCACTGCTTTGTAACGGGGGTCAGTCTCTACTTTGTCCTTCACTTTGCTCCAGCGAGACTGACTGTCCAGGTGGTGATTAGCCAGTAGTTCAAAGAAGTCCATTTTGATCTGTTTTACAGACAGAAAGAGAAAGACAATACTTGAGAAAGATACTTTGATACCCAACAGTTTGCTCTTATGAAAAAAGGAGTCAACTTACCTCCAACAGAGAAGAGCACATTAATATTACATACCATTACAATTTAGAGAAATCATTAAAACTCTGAATTTAGACACAACTGTGTCTAAAATTCACTTCCCCTTGGGACAATTTTGCTAAAGCAGATATATTAAGAAGATCTGCTACATCTAAGATGAACTATATTCTTTAAAGAATGATTCACCAAGACAGTTTTTGTTACTTTACTCCAATTTAAGCTTGAGGGTGGTTTTTTATATATATATCTCTCTCTATCAAAGTAACAAGTTACTGGTGCTATATTATAGCATTTGGACATTAACACAGAAGCTATGCAATTTTAAACAGAGCTCTAGACAAATCAAGTATTTATGGATTCATCCTCTAAGTGTACAATGAACAGAGATAAATACTTGGATCTGCTTATAAAGAGCAATGTCTTAAGATGGCTCTAACCAATAAAGAATTACCCACGTATGGTAATTAAGTAAATTACATTTAAGATGGATATGCACACATATATAGAAGTTAAGGAAATGTTTTAGTCTACTTTTTCCAATTGGAAATTGCAGGTTAGTGCTCCATCCCTAACAACCACCATTGCAAAGGGCTGGCAGAGGATTAATCCAATTAGCCTTTTTCATCTCGAGAGAACTAGCAACACGTTTTCATCCAAACTCCCAGAACCAGCAGTTGCAAGAGCAACTACTGTGCCTTTATTACATCTCTTTTTTCTGGGGTAGATGATCTCCCTGTTCCTGCTGCACTTTAGGTCCTAGGTATTTCCTCCTTTTTATTTCCTCCTTTTTATTTTATTTCTAGTTTATACCTTAGAATTCTGGTTTGGCATTTGAGCCTCCATCTCCCCCAAGCAGAGAGGCGAGGGGCTGGTTCGCCTCACTCGCTGAGCACCAGGAATGGCTCTAGGGATCCAGAGGCAAGGCGAAGCATGCTGCCTTCGCAGCATCCCAAACCCTGCTGGTCCACAAACCAAAATCCATCTTTAGGGCACACTAATTAAAACCCCACAAACCTAGGTGATGGGCTAGCCTTTTGTTTTTTGCTACTTATCTCCCCTCCTCATCCCTTTAAAAAAAAAAAGAAAACCACCAAAAGCAGTTTGGCTGCAAAACACTGAGGTTCAAAAGGGAAGCAAACAGATGGACAGGCGAACAAACTCTGTCGCATCCTGATTCTCTAAAAATGTGTTTAGTTACAGAATGCAAGAACGAAATGAAGATCGGAGCCAACATTCTGCAGCCCTGCACAGTGAATTTGAGTTCTTCACAATATTAACATATAAACATAAAAGGCTTTATAGGCTTTTTTTCTTTACTATCTCAACAGAGAGATTAAGATAGTAAGCAGAGATTAGAAAATAACTGGTTAGTGCCAGTGGGAAGTTGCTCTACATCTACAGCACTATCACTATTTCTTAAAGTATCTGAACAAAATGCGAAGCAAACCATTTATTCATCGTAAAATTAAGAATGTTGTTTCAAAACATCTTAAAACATGCATGCAGTATCAAAAATATGAAGCTTTCTAAGCCATAGCATTAGAAATATTTGTTAAGAATCAAACAATTCCCAGATGTTACTACAGAAATCTATAAAGTAAGGGTGTCTCAAAGTTTCTGCACTAGTCACATATGCACATACATATTTCGCAGGATAAAAACTGCATACCCACAACACTGCTGGAAGCGCCGTGGCACCAGCTGTGATACAAAACCAGAGCTGAGACCAGCACCACAACCTGCAGGAAGATGCTTCGCAGGAGCGGCCGGCAGCACGGCTCTGCACCCCTCGCTCCCCAGCTGTCCGCTTGCCCAGGAGAGCTCCTGCGCCACCGCAGCGAGGTGCCGCTGGGACACCTGCTGCTTCGGCACCAACCGACTTCGCTGAAAAACAGGAGGGTCCGGCCAATTCCCTCCCAAGAAAAACGAATGACATTTCCTGACCTTTAATGCTCTTAAAGCATGGGTTTAACTTCAGTCACCCACAAGGTATACAGCACAAGTATTGCAATTTGATTTTCAGTTTAAAAAAAGGTGAAAACTACTCAAAAAATTGAGTCAAAAACATCTCACCAAGGAACAATCTTTTAAGATTGCAGCTCCATGATGTTGTGAGTTTAATATATCTACACACCGCAACCAGCTGGACTAAGTAGAATGCTACGTAAGAGAACTGTTGAGAGCTCCTGATGCAGGGCAGGTGACAGACAAGATGGCCGCCAGCAGAGCGGGCTGCAGGGTGTTTGCAGCCACACGCTTCAGTGAGGCTACGTCAAGCGGGACGTCAGGCTCATCGGCCGGCACGGCTCACCTCGAGGAGACGGAACAACGCCGTGTCCCAGGACAGCATACGAGCAGCTTGGTCAACGTTACCAGCTCACCGTCCCTTCCCTGATCTCCTCAGCCCACCGTACATCCTCATCTCTCATCTGAGAAGTACTAGCATTGTATTTACTCACTGAAGTTACCCACATGAATAAAAACAGCCACCTGAAAAGCTGACTGCTCCGTCACCAGCCAATAAGCCATAACTTAATGAAGCAAAATCAAAACACTGTAAATTCAAAACTCTTACGTTAAAGATTTCTGTGAAGTTGATCCTCCTTAAATAAAGATTTTGGACTTTTAAAACAGACTGAGAAAGCTTCAGGTTAAATGTCTTAAATTTTCTTTTATGTTTTAAGCACTTTCAAAATCAAAGGAAAATAAAACTGAAAATATTTCAGGTGTATTTAGAAGTGTTTTTTTTTTTTTTTTTTGGCAGTTAACACATTGCAGGTACAACTCTCATCACTTCACAAGGAAAAAAACTAAAAAAATGTAAAGTACCGGAACTGCGGGAGGCTAAAGTCACCACACAGAGATACCAATTCTTTCCTCACTAGGGAATCCCATAATATTTGCGTGTCAGTGATTGACAGCTGTCAGACTGAACTGATTGACAGGCCGCACAGCACATAACTGTAAAGTCTATCCACTTGTTATAAAACAGAATACATAAAATGGTTACAAAAGGCTTTTGGAGAAAAAACATTTCAAAAGCAAACAAACACAATCTCTCTTCTTTTAACTTTTCAACTTTAGAACAATCATGCAACAACAAAACAAATAATTACTTTTTTTAAAGTCTTCAACTGCACTACTAAGCTGCAAGAATGCTTTAAAATTCAAAATGCAGTATATAAAAGTCTAGTTTTGAACTACATTGGTTCTCCTCTGAAAGCACAATCATTTATTGAAAACATCAGCAATAAGTCAACATTTGAAAAAATCAAGTACAGAATCAAACTAGAGCAGAGTACCTAGATTAAAAAAAAAAATGCAAAATTTATTCAATAACGAAATTGTCCTCAAATCAAATCCTGTTATTCAGCATTCTTCTCCTCTGTGAAGCATTCTTAGTAGGTGAAATTTGCAATAACTTTATACTACAAAATAAACATTGCAGACTTTAAAATGTCAAAAAATGATTAGGCTTTAGAGGTTATTTTCTCCATTCGCACAACACACAGGGACATTGAAGTAAGTGGCTGCATAATTTGATGATAATATTTGATGCCACCTCCACAGAAGCCTGCTTCCCCAGCGGTGAAAGCCTGCACCCTGCTATTGACAGTACGGTCAAATGACATTTGGAATTCATTAATCTTTAATAGCTGACCTTTAATTCTAATAAGCAGCAGTTTATACATAAGATATATTTACTGAAAGATTAAAAAGTCACTAAAGTGCTAGCTTTTAGATGGAAAGAGAAGATGTGGAAGCTGTCTGAAATTTAAACGGAGCATCCTACAGAGAATTTCAAGTTCTTACTGCCTCCACTGAGAGAAGAGAGAGGTAACGGCCAGTTCTGGGGTTTCCAGCCAAACAGGACAAGAATCCTTTTCCTTTTAATGCTTCAGGGTAATATAACTTTAAAAGCCCCACACAAACCCAGGCATTATTTCAGTTAAGAATACAGTGTTACTTGCTTAGGCAAACAAACAAAAAAGTGTGATTATTTAAGTAAACTCAGCCTCACAAATAAATGTAAGTTCAATTCTATATACTCTAGAAGTCAGTATACCTGCAAACTCAAAATAGTTAGTTCAGAAAGAGCAAAGGGACATCCGTGAAGTGTTTGCATTGGAACACCTCTACGGGAAGAGAAGGACCGTGGCTCAGAGAAGGCTCCCCAGAAACCAAGCACTGGCTTTGTCCCATCTCACTCAGGCTCACACCACTCACACTGCTGGAGCTAAAAAAAGTCACCTTACCTTCTCACCTCGGGTCTTCGAATCTTCTTTTTCCTTCTTTCTTGCCGCTGTGATAAACTCATTAAACAAGGCCTCTCGATCTTTCATCTTTTCAATTGCCTTGAATCTCGAGTCTTTAGCATGCTTGGCTGCAAATTCACTAAAAGTAGTTCTGCAACAAAATGGCAAGTGAACTCATTTGGCAGAGCTGTCTTTGCTGGGAAGCAGGTTCAGCAGAGAACTATTTCTTCTGCTAGAATACATGCCAGAGCACAATTTAAAAAAAAAAAAAAAGGCAACATCCTACGGTCTCGCTATAGAAATGCTTGATCAATGAACTATATCGAAAGGAGTCAGGTTTAGGCACACACATGAAAGGTATTGTTAGACTTACGGGGGGTGGGGTTGGCTTGTTAGAATACAGCTACCTGCAGAAAGTGCAGGTGTAGGAAGAGAGATTGCAATGCAACCAAGAAGAAGAAATGAAAAAACTCAGTTGTCTACAAAAATCTTCTTTTTTGTGGGTTAGCAGTTCAGCCACCAGTCTGTCCAGGTATTTCACAGCTGTGAAACTGAAAATTTTACGTGCATTTACTTGCAGCCAAACCATGCTAAGAGTTCACCAAGAAAATCACCTTTTGGTATTAGTCACAATAGAACACTGGCTGAATCAGTTTTTTCTCCTACACTGAACATCGCACAGCCTCATCTTAAAACACACAGAGCTGAAAATATTTTAAACACTATGGGCAGATGCAGCAATACTGGGCTTTCAACCCATTATCCCCACAGCATTTCCCTGACCGTTCTCTCACCTCCAGGGCCAGATTCCAATCTGTGCAGTAGATACAGTACTGCCACTTACCTCGAAAAAAACCACTACTGTGCTTTTTCCAAGCTCTGATGCAAATCTGGCCCCAAGAATACGTGAGACACTTATAATCATACGAATGTTTTCATCACAGCATGGAAATAATTAGACTTGGAAAATCCAGCCTACTGTTGCTGTAGGGTAAATTGAAACAAGAAGAGAATTTGGTAGCTTATTCAAAAAAGATTAGAAAGTGAATGTACAGCTATATTGAAGAACAAGAGCTGTTTAAGTGAAGTGGAACACAAACTCTTGAGCATGTTGGACTGAGAAAGATGATAAAAAAACAGTCTGGCACTCACAGAAGTACAGCAATATCTTTAGACAAACACTGAAACCAGAAGACAAAGGATAAGATTAAACAAGACAGTATTTCAGCTGGAACTCTCTTTCCCACCCCAACCCATAATCAGGTAAGAGTCAGTCCCAACGTGACACATCCTCACTATCACGTGAGATCTTGGAGGTTGACGATACTCAAGCTAAACATAATAGTTCATGTTGGTCTCTGAATTCTATATTAACCTTGTTACTGATGAACTTTTTCTTAAAACATTTCCATGCCTCCATTCTTCCCAGCCTACTACTGTTAAAACTGCTACCCCTATGAAATGAGCAGACAGGTGTTTTAAGTAAGTTATTAATCCGATTTGAATTTAAAAGTTAACATAACACTGGCTTCCACCAGATTTCCAAATCAGGTCACTGAAAAAAATTAAGCTGAAGTGAAACAAATGAGTTGTTATTTCACTGTAAAAGAATTAATGCCAGATAAGCCAAGAGATGCTGAAAGAGAACACTTTAGAGCTCATCTGGTGACATAAGCATATTTCCTGAACTCTATGTGAGAAAGCTGTGAAACAATTCTAGCAATAAAATCTTGAATGTTAGTACACGCACTGTCATCACCTTGCTAGTATCACTGCAAGTGGGTCTGAATGTGAGGGGTATGTAACCATTTCTATATTAAAGCAACCAGAACATTCTACCATATTATTAACAACATACTTTGTAACCAGAAAAACATCCCTTCAGCCCCCGCCAACCCGAAGAAACCTCCCTAGTACTTCTGAGAGACTAGTAATGCTCCTAAGAAGAAACAGGATTATTAAAGAAAACTTGCGGTAGATCATGAGGCCTTTCTCACAATCCAGACAGCATGCTGGGCATTTCTTCAAATGACTTAAAATATGTAAATCATTATAAAACAAGTTCTATTATTTCATGGGTTAGGTGAATACAAGCAGGCAAAAGAAGATTTCAATGGTATCTGATGATTTTTCTCCTCTTTGTCCATTTTGAAAGAGGTTAATCTACCTAAAACCACCCAACATACTTTGTTCTAATAGAGCTTATGCATATGAACAAGAAAGAAGCTCCTACCTTGGATTAATCTTTGCTTCTTCCATCATTTTCTTGAAATCCTCCTTGGCCTGCATTATTTTGTTTTTCTTCTCCTTGCGCTCTTCTTCTGCTCGGGTTTTCACATACTGATCAAATACCTACAGAAACACCAGTCACCGACATAAAACATACAAACCTGAAGCCACTTTAGCTCTAGGCAAGAGGGACAAAAAAAATCCCATTTCTTTCCTTTTCTCCTACTTCCTTTCCTCTCACCACAGAAACAACACAGACGAGGTAGAAAGAAAAGTTAGGGACTCTTGGTATTTGAATACGCAAATTGCTCCAATGTGCTGAACACTCACTGCTATTAACTCACTTCTTTTCTTGCTGGCTGCTTCCCTTTCCAGACAAACCCTAACCGTAACAAAAATCCCTTGCAACACCAATGAGTCTGGAAGGTTAGCAGGAACAAAAATAGCAGACTGAGGATGTAGACAAAGCCTGTAGTAGCTGTGTCTGGATAAGGAGTGAATTTGGCTTCTGTTTTACCTGTTTTCTTTCTTTCGGGTTGAGAAGTAAGTAACGAGGATCAAAAACTATCTTGTGTAGCTCTTTCTCCCATGTTGAAAAAGCAGAGACCTTTAATTAAAGAAAGTCAGATTTCAGCTAATGGTTAAGTTTCCTCAAATATACAGAAGTTGTACAGTTTTGCTTGAAAATTACAGGCCATCTGATGAAGAGAGGGAAACAAACTCATCTGAAGTTTCATCACTAATAGATGATGGAGGCTGCCACAGCAAGTTTCAACACTAAGTGGCTCTCAAAACTTCTAAATAACACACATTTAATTACTAACAGTGTGACATTAAAAAAAAAAATAAGTACATGAGAAGAAAGCCTTGAGATTGTATGTTCCCATATCCTGTGCCTGCTCTAATCCTTTTCTAAGGGTTATGAGTGTAAACTGTTCTGCTACAAAAGAGATTGATTTAAACATGTTCAAGCTCATCCAATAAGCTTTATTAAAACTATCCCATAAAATCCAGTTATTGAAATAAATGAAAGCTGCATAGGCAGCTGGAATCACTTTCATTTTTTAAAGTTACTATATAAATTTATATTCTAATAGCCTAATTTATCTATAAAACTGGTTGGTATCAAGCAGATTTCAAAGTTAACTACGAGCAAAAAGTCTCCCATTTAAGGATAAGAGTGCACACACTACAGTGGAACTTACTGCTTTTCTCATGTAGCAAGGTTTTCAAAAACATTAAGTATGTGTCCAGTTTGTGTGTCCTATTTACATTCAATGGCAGCTTTCAATTAGGTAATTATTTGGAAAAAAAGCTTAAAAAAAACCCTGTCTTGATACTGTTTCAGTTACCTGGAAATCAAAATTTTGCTAAAATTGTAACATTCTTTGAAATATGGATTCTTGTACCAAATGCATCCATTAATCAGAGGAAGGATGAGATTGTTTTCCTTACATAAGGCACCACAGGTTCTGAATTCGCTAAGAATCGGGTCTTCTGCCTGAACCGCCCCCCTCCCTCCCCTTCTCACATGTACACACACACACTGGTTTCTCTGACCCCTCTTTCTAGAAGCATGTCCTTGAATTGCTTCATCCGAGCCTCCAGAGGGACAATTGCTCTCTCTCGAGCAGCTTTAATTTCAGCTTCCATAGCAGCTTCCTTCTCTGAATCAATATCTTTGTTATCATCTTTCCTGAAAAAAATTAAACATACAGTATAACTTGAGAAGTAATAGGCCAACCCTGTAGGGTAGAAACTGAACTACACCAAGACAGAACGGATACAACTGACTACTTCAGAAGCGTAGGCTTACAAACCATGAAAGCCATTCTTTGAGACTTGGTATGAATGCTTTTGTACTGAATGAGCTCGAGAACGGAGGCATTCTCAGTAACTTCACTGCCAGCAAATGACTCCAAGAAGTTACCATGGTCTGCTCATAGTCAATGGTCTTGCCAGATGCGCCACAGATTTTACATTAACTGCACTAATTTTCTTATCTCCTGTTCAAGACCATGAGGCCCTGTGAAAAGACTACGGCTAAGGGAGTTAGTTCGAACTAAGAATATCTTACAGTCATCACAACAGAAAATGCCATAACGCAAGTGATACATTCATCCATGAAAGCATTTCTGGACAAAAGCGTGCTGTTTTTTGATGTACATTTACTAAGAGCAAAGGCGCTTCATCCCAAACACAAACTCAAAGTTCTAATTGCTAATGACTTTATGATCATCCCTAAGATGTAAGAGTACTCTTTTGTAAGAGTACACAAAACAAATAAAATGGTAAAAATACTTTCAAAACAGGGTGCATCAGTAACTCAGAGTGAAGTGACATATATCACTTCCAATAGGCAAAACAGACCAAAAGCCCTAAACAAAACTCTTACACCTTTATAACACAATGAAGCCAGAGTAATCACTATGAAAACCTAGATGGCTAGATTTTTTTGGCAACAAAACCTCATACACAGAAATGAACGAGCTAGATAAACAAGTAATGGAAACAAACTATTTAAAGATAAACTGCACTCAAAATTTTATTTGGATTCACCAAATAACTGATGCTGTTCATTTCCATTTCGAATGATTTCCAAAGGAGCTACTATTTTCTCTATACATGAATTTCAGCTATCTCAGAGAAACATCAAATACCTGAGCTGCTGAAGTAAAAGGGCAGGAAGTCAATTGTGTTCACCAGTACTATTAATTACTGCTACTACTCTGCCAAATACAACAGCATACACGCTGCTCAGATGAAAAACTTCAGTTATTTTATCTACACAGACCACTTAGTACTGAAAAAGCAAACTTACTTGCGCTTTTTAATTTTAATCGGCTCATCTTCGTTTGCTTCCTCCGTAGATTCATGCTCTTCTCTAACTGTAACAGACATCAATAACGCTTTAGATTTTTATGAGAAGTTTTTTAAAGACAAGTGAGGCCTTGTGCAAAAACAGAGGACAATGTGAGCAGCAATAAAGTATTCTGACAAAGGAAGACAAAAGGGTTTCAGTCGCTTTCAGAATCACACTATCTCAGTCGCTTTCAGAATCACACTATCAGAATTCGGTGGCAGACTAATGGACTTGTGGCCAACTTTCGATTTAAAATTATGAACACTGACCTCTTATTTCCAGGGGAAAAAACCTCAGGCTAAACAGTCTAATGGAGCACATTTGGATCTCCTGATTACCTACTTGCACTTTGCTCTCCTCCAACCACCAAGCCCACATGTCACCCCAGATCATTACTAGAACTCGTGCCAGAAAGAAGTCTCATCTCAGCAGCCTCTTGAATGTTCTCTTGAATGGCAGCCATTTCCAAAACTGTATTCCAGTTGACGTTCTCTAAGTTAAATCCTTTTCTGTGAGAACCCATTTGTACATTATGATTAATCTTTTCTGGCCCCCAAATTCCTCTTGCTTATAAAACAAACAGTCCCTTTTTTTTAGTCAGTAAAAACTGGGGGGGGTGGGGGGGTGTCAGTCTCTTGCCATGTAGAAAAAAAAATTAACCTTGTTAGTATCTAGTTTCTTCAATAGACTGTTTTTTTCCAAAGGACTCTATAAATCTGCGTTCCCACCAGCCGCCTTAAATTCTAAAGCTATATACATTTTTCAGTGTGTCCTTACATTTCTCTCACTTATTTAAATGTTACTAGCTTTGGAAATCAACACAAAATAAGTGATAAATTATAATCGGACTTCTTAAGAAGGCAATAAGATTGCTCTTACTAAGTTTTTTTCCTTCTTCCATTCCTTTTTTGTGAGGAGGTTCTTGAATAATTTTGTCCACATCAGCTCTTCCAATTAGGTCATCTGGTCGGTCCCACATAGAAAGACGAGTGGTAGGGTTATAGAAGAAAACACGCTCATCACCAGTCCACACCACACACCTGGAAATTTAACAGTCAGACAGGAAGTCCTGTATTATCTTCACCTTTATCCTTCTGAACACCTCTTCCCAGATTCCAAGACTGAAGCAAGCATAATGCTCACAGACAGATCCAGGTCATACCTGCTGCACAGCCACCAGACATTCCCACTGTCCAAGTGGGAGACTGAACCATTGCTTTGCTCTGCTAGCAGACTGAAATGCCATTTTAGAAATGGCATTTAAAATCTTATGAGGAACAGCTGAGGGAACCGGGGTTGTTTAGCATGGAGAAAAGGAGGCTGAGGAGAGACCTTATCACTGTCTACAACTACCTGAAAGGAGGTTGTAGTGAGGCAGGTGTTGGTCTTTTCTCCCAAGTAACAAGCGATAGGACAAGAAGAAAAGGCCTCAAGTTGTACCAGGGGAGGGTTAGATTGGACATTAGGAACAATTTCTTCACCAAAGGGTTGTCAAGCACTGGAACAGGCTGCCCAGAGAAGTGGTGGAGTCACCATCCCTGGAGGTATTGAAAAGACGGGTAAGATGTGGTGCTTGGGGACACAGTTTAGTGGTGGGCTTGACAGTGCTGGGTTAAAGGTTGGATCTGATGATCTTAAGGGTCTTTTCCAACCTAAACGATTCTATGGTTCTATAAACATACAAAGATGATTTACATATATTACAGCAAGAGTAACCTCATCATGACATTATACACATAGGCACCTGAGGAGTATCTATGCCAAGTTAAAAAAAAAAAAAGGGGGGGTGGGGTGGTGTTTTGGCCAGCAGTTGCACCTATCTGCTCCCCAAGGCATAAGGGCAAAAGTACAAGATTTACTTTTTGGCCAGTATTTCATACCAGATCAGGAGAATCAGTGGCAGGTGAAGGGGACCGGGATATGAAATCTATACTGGTAACGTACTTCATGGGACTGCAGCCAGCGCGTGGTAGGAAGGCTACACACACCCCACTGAACATTCTGAGTGCCAGCACAGCGTGAGCAGCATTGGGTGGAGGAATCCAACATTACTTGAGACTGAAGCGTACCAAGAACAGGATCCTCACAGACTATTACTTTTTCTAACTACCCAGCAACCTTCCTGGTGGCTCCAGGAAATGGTGTTTCAGTCCCGCAGCAGCAGGCCATAGGGAAAGCCGATACCTACCACGGGGTTCCTGGAATAGGGGTGGTTGCAACCGGCTTGGCCTTCTGAGCTGCTTTTTCTTCTTCAGTCATTTCTTCCTCTTTCGGCTCCTCAAGCAAAAAAACAAGTTACAGGATTCAGGCAATGACAGCTAGCTCATTATTTACAATAAAGTAATTAACTTGTTTTAAGCCAGCAAATGTATTTTGAAATAATGCTAACAAACAGCTCACAGTTACGCTTCATCCATGCTTAAAACGGAAGCATTGGCATTCCAACACATAGACAGTAACTGCTATTCAAAAAAATCTCAATTCAGAAAATCTCTAAGTGTCTACTTAAATTTGACTTCAATGAAACCTTAATTAAGTGCCTTCCTAGATCTGCATGAATCCTTGAATCAAGGCCTGAATACAGGGGCAAGAGTGAAGTTTCTCACAAAGAAATTTTGATTTTTGCTTCTTCAAATTAATTTACTTGAAAATGAGACACAGTACAAAACAGTCAAAAACCTGAAATAACCTTTGTCACAGAAATAAGCAAACTAGCAGCTATCTTACAAGTAAACAGGGCAGAGTGGTAATAAAAAACAGCAACTGAATTCTGTGCTTTTGCCTACTAAGCTACATTGAAGTTCACCGAAATCCATGTAAAAGCTTTAAGTTTTATTCAAACACCTTAGCATCTTCAAATGCTTCCTCAGCACGACAAAATGCCTTACAAGAAAAAAGTTAATTTTGTTTACTGCAATATAAACACTACATTTTCTAGGACATGTGTTCCTAACAGACTAAACTTACAGCACATGGAGAACGTGCAAGCTTTGTTTCAGAATTGTTCAAAATAAAGAAGTAAAGAAACAGAGAAAAAGCTATTAATTTAAAGATTTCAGTCAGGACAAGATTAATTTTTCTGAACACCTTAAATCAGCGAGAGAACGTCAGGTCTATGTAATTAGCTAACTTTTTTCCCCATGTTATTACTAATTTCTTAACTCACATATTCTGCATCTTTCTTTTAAATGTCCTTTTTTCCTTACGTAAAAAAGAAAGAAAAAGCAGCTAGGAGTCCCAAAAGGAAGGCTTTCAAAGTCACCCCAGGAATGTCAGAACTCAAGTTACTAACCATGTCTCCTGTCAATATGCCTGGTCTACAGATGCATCCACACCTGTAGGATGTAGGATTCAAAATGCCGATACCGACTATTTGGTTGCAAGGTCTTTTACCTCCTTTATAAGTTCTTTTATAGGTTCTTCTTTCGGCTCTTCTTCTTCTGTCTCCATTGGTAAAGGCTCCTCTGTAGGTTCTTTAATTGGCTCTTTAATCTTCTCCTCCATTTTTTCTAAATAAAGATAGATGTTTCCTTAGTATTATTAAGAAACCATTATAGAACCACAACAGATTTATTTTTATCAGTATGGGTTTCCAAGCGCAACAGCAAAACAAAACTTGTTCTTCATGTATTTTCACCACTTTCTGTCCTTCTAGGGCTTTACAGTGTCTGTGTATAAAAACATGATTATCTCCTGCATCAAGATCAACTTGGGACTGGAAGAGGAACCAATGTAAAGCAGCCTATTACATTAAAAAGCTAACTAAAGTGTACTGACAGAAACAGCTGAAACACCAATAAAAATATTAACCGACAGTTGCAACCAACAGTGCAACACTGAAGACCATTTTCAGATTTGAAATGCTGTTGACAAAAAATCAGAAAAAAAATCATGGAGAATCATCTGAGGATTGCTCTGTACCCACTTAAAAATTATAAAATGTATAATATTTACTCAGCAAAATTGAAATTTGCTGTCTTAGATGTTTTCACCTCAGTAAAAAGAAGACCTATTATTTAAACCTGAATTATTAGAAAGAGGGATATTGAACTAGCTAACTGTATAACCGTTCTGAATTTGTCTAAACAAAGATTTAATGTTACAGAAACATTCAGCAGATAATAAAAGGAATAACTATTGGGTCCAACTGGAATTGTTTTCCTGAAAGACTTTAGAAACTGAATAAAAGGGGGTTTGCCTCTTCCTAATTTATGATACAAGAACAATTTCCCTCCACTGTAACACCATCCATAGGTATAATGCGGATTCAAATAAAAACAAGTCACAGAGTATGACCAGAATATGATTTAGGGATGTGGACAGGGGGAGGTAATTTATTTTTTCCTCATATTCCAAATCTGTTTATACACTTAGGTTTTGAGGATCTGAAATTTAGCGTTTCGTGATCTTCATTCTTCCCTGCTTTACAGTCTAGAGAATAACTGAGTTTTCCCCTCACTTTCCATCTATCTACAACTGGGATCTTCTCAAACAGGTGAATACGTCAAGTACTTACTTTCTACTGGAGCGGAAACACGCGTTTACCCAAGTGTCGCAGGATTTGGAAGCAACTCTAGAACCAAATACTCTTATAATAGAGCGGGAAACAAACAAACTATAACTTTCAGAGCAACTCAAATAGATCCTTATAATCAGGGTTTCAAAATATTCTTAGGGGACATAAGTGATAAGAAACATTCTCGTTCACATTTTCAAACACAACTATTAATGGTCTAAGTGATTTTGCCTAGTATACTGCTGTATTAAAACCAAAAGTACCTTTTTCTTTCAGTTCTTGGGGTTTTTCCCACGTTGACTCCAAAGTCCTGTTGTTATAATAGTAAGTCTTTCCGTCGGCTGTTTTGTACTCTGTCCACTCAGAGACTGCTGTTGCTCCAGCCAAGGTAGCCGGTGAAGCGGCAATAGCAACCTGAGGATGGATCATGGGTACGATGGGAGGGGCCATGCCTGGCAAGACACCTGCACAAAGAAGAAAAAAAAAGAAAAAAGAAAAAGAAAAAGGAAAGGAAACAGTAAGTGACAATAAAATACTTAAGAACCAAAACCTAGCACTTTACTGCCTTAATTTACAAATAATCAATCTATATAAATAAAGCTTGTTTTCAAAATTAAATTGGAAAGCAACACATTGTTACTAAATTTCCTTCCTGTGTTTTACAGTCAGTAATGCCCATATTACCAGGCAAATTAGATAGCTTTTTATTTTAGAGTAATGTGTAATTCTGCACAGCACAAAGTTTGTTAGTTTTTAGACATTTGCTTTAATACTTCAAAATTAAGTATTCTATTAATAAAGTCTTTATTAGATGTCTATAGCAAATAATTATTTTTTTAAAAAATCTACTCCACTGTTTAATTATGCTCTCATTTTAAGAGATATTCCTATTGCTCTTGAAAAAGAGGACAACAGTGGCTTGAATTTAAGCCATATAATATGGAGAAGAACTCTGATAAATCTTAAATCCTGACTTAAAAGAAGTCAACATTAATTCAGAGCCTTGGATAGAAACTGATGAGAATGGAATAATTTCAGATTGTGTGACATTTTTGTTTAGTACTGCAGACCGATTGGAAAAGACATTTTATTCACAACCTAAAGCAAAATGGCAAGTAAATATCCAAAAGTAAGAAAGCCAGAATGCTACATTATCCTATTATTTCTCAACTTGTCCCAACAAAATGGATATACTGAATATATTTTGAATGACAAGTTCTAGAAAAACGAATTGGATAAGACTAGAACTACAAAATCATAATTTTGAGCCTTTAACATTTATATGAAAAAGTCTCCCTTTCTGAATACTGGAAAAGCACACATTGCCATACAGTATTCTCAGTAAGTGACTTTTCTTAAATCCACAATTTGACGAATGAAAATTTATACTAAGACGCACATACACGCACACCAACATGCGAGCACAATCATGTCACTATACATGTGGAAGTAGGAAAACAAAAATCCACACACAAGAAACTAATAACTAAGAAGTATGGGCATGAAGAGATTCACAGTTATTACAGAACTCAATGGTTACAGAAAACTGTACTGGATTTTTTTGTATAAAATAAGCTAACACTAACAGTTATTTGGGAAAGTTATTTCCTGGCCAAATACGATATTTGCATTTATACTGGTTTTGAAAATAAAGTATATAGATATTCATTCACTTGGGGAAGCAAATAAATAAATAAAAGATAAACAACAACATTCACTACCATGCCAACTTACAGACAAAACGAACTAAGATGGTTTTGAAAATTACCGGTCTTGGTGGTAGCGACTGTCTTTACATACGGGCAGCTGACTATTTGCATCATTGCTACACCTGTAAAATGGATAAGCAAGCATGTTGGAAAGCTGCCATTGTATGTCAGCTACCACGGGGAGTCTGGATGCTACAGATTTCCTGCTACAATTTGGAATGCCGTTTTCAGCTGGCAAAGAGGAAGCCTCCCGGCAAGAAAATGCGAATTATTTTTGCTCCAACATTTTATGCCAGATCAAAAATAAAACTAACTTTAAGCTGCAGCAACAGTTTCTGCCTACATTAAACCAGCCATTTTGCAAATTATTGGGATGTCATTAAAAAGAAAAAAGGTGTTTCAAAGAAGACGCAGGGGTTTAAGTTCATTCAAGGGGGAACTCAGCTCTCCTTGTAGGGCGCTACCATGGGAAAATGTTCTGCTAATGGTGCTGTTTTCCACTGACAGCCTTTGCTCAGAGATCCATCAGAGGAACAGCAACCAAGTGAAACTAACCGTCTTTGCTATTTTCAGCCTGCTGCCGCACTCAGAAAGCGGCGGTAAGAGGAGAAGGACAGATTTAAACTAGTCGGACTGGCAAGGCGTGGCAGGGTGAAAGCCAAGTTCAACCCGGAGGGAAAGCTGAGGTTATGAGAGTCCTTACAGAAAGGCTGGAGGTGGAAGAAGGAGGGGGAAAAGAAATAAAAGCAATGAAGCTGCAAACAGAGGTACACAAAGCTACACTAGGTCAGTGGCAGCCAACGTTTTCTTTATTTTTCATTATCAAGAATGTCATGAGCCGAAAAATGCCCTACAAGCAGCATAACTAGCCCTCAAAAAGGTAGAACCATGCACTGTTCTGCTCTCCAGCTCGCTACGGAATGACACAAAGGCCACAGAGAGGGAAGTATCTCATCCTCTGCAATTAGATGCAAAATTCAGCAGGAAAAAAAAACAGGGGGAAGAGGAACACATTTCCAAAAAAACTTCATTTTAGGGTGCGGAAGGAAACTGTGGAAGTTCTCTCTACACTGGTCCAGTCTGGACACTCAAACTGAAATACTCCAGAAACTTCCTCTTAAATGGTTTCAATTCCATCATCTGGAGTTGGAAATCCTCTAGCGCAAAGTGAAATTAAACCCCTGTGTTTATAATCAAAGTAATTTCTATTTTTCTTCATTAGAGATCTAGTATGGGAGGTATACAAAAATACTGCCAATTTATTTTAAAAAATATTTGTGAGAAGACAGAATTGTAATGTTCTTTAATAATAATTTCAATGAAAGAATCCAAAACTAGTTTTATAAAAAAAAAGTATGACTTGAGACACAAAAACATAGACAAACACTTCATTCAGTGCTGTTTGAGTCAAAGTTTTTTGGGGGAGTGTCACATTATGTACTTGAAAATGAATCTGAACATTCGTTTTGTTAAGGAAGTTACAGCATGTCTTAAAACTGGGTCAGTATAAATAATGCCATCTGCGGGATCACTGAAATTAGAGATACTGCAGCGCAGATAAGACTTCGCAAATACCCAAGCTGTTTCCTCTGCCAAGTTCATTCTCAAACATACAACTAACTTTTAACATATGAATTAAGAGAAAGCAGACTTACTTTTTAAGATCTCAGATTATGAGATATCGCTAATGAACTCTTCCATTGTTCCCTCTTACTATAGTATAATACAGAGGTTAACTCTGAAATCACTTGACAATGGTATTGTTCAGTCTCTGTAACCTGGAAGCAATCTGGCTGACAGCGTATCTGGTGCTGACAGCCACAAACTCCTACACGGGAAAACTTCAGAAGCCTTTTTGACTTCACCTTACACTTCCATGAAGTAATTTTGACTTCTCTTTTGTTTCTTGTTACTGGAAAATATTTTAAAGGTTTCCTTTTCTTTTACAGTGTTTATAAACCATTACAACCAACTCAAGCCAGAATTAGCCGAAAGAAATAGACTGACTTTATTCTGTAATCAGGCAAAATGACAAATTAGACTCGTTAGTGGAAGCAGCCTTCTACTGCTAGGTATCCTTCCTATGTATCATGGGTGCCACCCAAAGGGCTCCTCTCACTGTGAGAACAGAAGAGGCCAGATCCAAGACTCGCTACCAGGAAAGTTCTGAAAAAAATAATTTTCAAAAATGAGTTTAAGAAGAAGATTGATGTTCTTGCTCTGTCTTTCCTTCTGTATTGCACTACTCACAAAACTTTTTGACTGAGAGATTACAAAAAAACCCAACCCAAGCACACACGCTGGTGTATGCATTTTCACTGGCACTCTTCTCTACTGCTCACCATCAACATTCTACCTGACAGTTCATACCCGAGTAGTTTATATCCTTCAAAGGTACATAAGGACCCTTGACTCTATGCTAATCCCTTGCTGGCAATGTCAGAAATTGCAGTTAAGAACACTCAGCAGACCACCTTTAAGGCTTAACCCTTTTTACTGTTCTTCCAAACCTCACAAATCCCCAGACACTGGAATTCTCCCTCTGTCCTCTATCCATTTTTTAATTCAGCCTCGAATATCATGTTCCTGTCTTAAAACAATGAGTACTACACTGTGATTTCCTTTTCAAGCAAATTACAGATTTAAGTAGCTTCACCCAGTTATTTTAGAAGACTGTGCTAAAAGCAGAGGCAACTAAAAGTTGGTCCTGTCTTCTAGTTAACAGAACTAATGCCCATGCTAACTACTTCAATGCTTATATCCTTTATCAAAGAAAGAAGCGTTCTAAAGGATTACTTTTCATCCAACCAAGTCAACGGAAGGTCAAGCCTCCCTTCATACATACTGGATCAATGTGTGAAAAGGACAGCAGGAAAAGAAGTCACCTCACTTGGCTTGTACAGAGTCAAAACCATGAGGATGCTGCTCAGAGCTGCATCTTTCTAACTCTTAATCAGAAACTAACTCGTATCCAATATGACTCCAGCATCAAACCTTCCTTTGCAACAGAAGATCATCAGCTCTTCGTATATATTTAGCACTACTGCACACTGAAAAAACATGAATTACTTTTGTACTAGAACTTTTTTGTACTCAACTGTATGCATGCAAACTGAAACATGGTATTTAAGCAATGAGGGGCTTTAGTAACCTCTTAGGGTTTAGTAACCTCTGCAGCAATTACAAACAGCAGTTGAGTCCAAAATTTTGCCAGCCTAAAATTACTTCCTTAAGTATCTAAGTACTTCATAAAAACTTACGAAAATACGATTTACCCGGGAACCAGTGGGTTGCCATCTAAGATTTCCTCTCAATGGTCTTTACATCCAAACCCTAGCACCTTGAACGCCTTCCTTACGTTCCTCAGTTTAAACCTCAACATTTTGCGTATGCATTCAGCATCGTACCTGAGAGTTGCAAACCAAGAGAACTGGAAACACCTAACATCAGTCAAGGGGGTAATGCATTTAAATAGTAATTTTTCCTGCTCATAAATATATTATTTCCTTTTAATTTCTTTCGGCTATAATCCATGTCCTAATAAATATTTATGCATAAGACTTAAGGTCTAAATCAATCAAGTAGAAAAAAATTATAGCAATATTGCAATTAGTAAAATATAGTGCTACAGTATCCTCAGTCACATATGGATTCTGTCCAGGAACTCACTTTTTTTTTTTTTTTAAAACCGAATGATAAGATAGACGTGTGCCATGAGATTAAGCAGCATTTAATGCAATTCTTTTATTTTCCTATCATCTAAAAGAAAAAGGTTTACATGTTTAAATGCAGCTGTTTTCTGATATGTATATCAAAGAACTAGAAGTCAAAAGGTTTCATGTTCTTTGTTAATTAAAAAGTCTGTCTGCTAACCCTGAATTCTTTCAAAAATACTCTGAGCGGAGAGGATTCAGGCAAGTTCCATACACAGTGGACACATGAGTGCAAACAAATTGACAACATGGACATGTAGCGGACAAGACAATTACAGTTCGCCAATTTACCTGGAAGTGGAATAGGCATGCCAGGAAGGGGGACACGAAATGGAGGTACCATTACTGGTGGAAAAGCAGGAATTGCTGCAGTTGGTTGAGGCACTGCATGAGGAACTGCAGGAGGCAATGTCTGTGGGACTGGCTGGGGTACAGTCTGCACAGGTGTAGCAGAAGGAGCAGAGGTTGAAACACTGACTGATGGTGTGGCAACTGAAACACCCGAACTCGGGGTCTGGTCTTGTGTGGTAGGTGCTGATAAAAAAAAACAAAGAACACCTTGTATCTTAGACACTACAATATATTTGCTGCAAACATACTGGCTCTCTGTTTCCCAAGACATTACATAAGCAGATATGCTTAGATTTCATCAGCAGGAAGACACCCGTGGACAAAAACCCCTTTGCCTTCTCTGTAACGTGAAATATTCACAAAGAAAGTCAATTCCAAAATTTTACTTTGTCCCATTCTTTACACCTAACAAGTCTCTACAGCAGTAGCAAGGGTGTATCAAAGGACAAATATAGGCTCTGTATCCCTATGTTCAGAAACATAAAAAGGGAACATTACAGAGTTTCAAATGGAAAAAGGTTGTTCTTAGTCAAATGAACACAGGTTCTCCTTTTTAACAATAATGGCAGCAGCGTGTGCATGACAACAGTCTGCCTAAAGCTATGCTTATTAAGCTGTGAGCCAAGAATGGGGAAACATCAATTAAAAAAATGTGTAAATAAGCAAGGAAAGGAAAGTACTTTTGTTCAGAAGTTGCAAGAACTTTCTTGGTCTCCAGTGCCTCCCAGTGGGAAAACACACCACTGGCATTCAATTCCACAATCCTTGCAGCATGACCTAAATCAGCACTTAACCAAGAATAAACAGTGCTGCGTATCAAAGCACTGGCAAACAGGAACTAGAGATGTGACTGATTAAACTCATTGACCAGCCTTGCAAATTCATACCATAAGATTTAGGGGAGAGGAAACTTTTAAAAATGAGCTAATTAAAAACCAAAACAAAGCCACACCAATTTATGACCATATTGTATATGGGCATACCGTGCGTTTTCCTCAGTCTTTAATGACTACCCGCATTCTCAATAACACACCAGTATTAGCATATTTAAATAAAGATTTTTGATCTACTGTTAACTGTTTCAGAAAGTTCTTTGCACTGCCTAAAATTTAGGGAAACAGAGGAGACAGTCAGTATGCGATTTAAGGTCTAAGTCAAATCAGTACCAGACAAGAGTGAAGCTCAGCCAGAAGTCACAGGTTTTTTTATAGGCTGAGTCTGAGAGTTATAAAATTATTTTAAATGATAAATACTTATCACCTAGGCACAGACACCAACAGTAACAGTTCTTGGAAGCAAAGACAAAGTTTAGCAGGTAGAACAGGTAGAAGTGGAACAGACTCTCAGCATTTGGTATTAGGAAATTTTGTTTCAGAGAAGGTGCACAAAGTGCTATTCCAGACGGAGGGTCAGTTCTCAAAAGCCTGGCATTAGGCCCAAAGCTAACATTCACCTCCTACCTGATTCTTGCTACCCCGCAAAATGGTTAGAGTAGACCATAATTCAACAAAGCAGCTGAACACAGTACTACGTTACCTTTCAAACTAAATAAAAGCCCTAAAATGCTTTGAGCGACAGAAATTATTTGCTATGCTAACCATCTGTCTTCCCTCCAGTGTTTACTGAAAGCATAATTTGAGAGTAACCCAACTTTGCCTCCCTTTCATACGCAGATCTCTACAGTTTGGGTTAAATGGTGAGTTAAGCTTGACTTGTCTCACCTGTTACAGGAAAAAGATGAAATAATTCCAGGGATGCAACTATACACTACTGCTCATCTGCGCACTCTTTGGCCTGACGCAGTGCACACATTTTTGCCAGCGCAGCTACAATGATCAAGACTGTCAAACAACAGGATTCCTGATGAGCAGAAACGTGCTCTCAGCGGCCCTGCATGTAGACAGTGACACTAACCAAACTCTTCCTAACAAGCGTACCTTGCTTCGTTCGTGCTAGGTCATCTTACTCGTTGTCTGCTGGCGACACGCTCATGTGCAAATAGTACACAAGATACATGTCTATAGAGATGCTCTGCACTAGAGGCACTTTGTTAGCAAATATATGCCAAAGTATAGCATACATCATACAATTTATATCATATGCAGTTACTATGTATTAACATGCATTATGTGCATGTTGCCTAAATTCAGTCCCCTTTCCTTTTGAGGTTCCCTCAGTTGGAAAACCCTTAAAAGCAAAGGCTCGGGCCCATGCAAACAGCAGTAATCTTCAGACTATTATTCAAAGGTCATGAGCGAACAATAGTGGCTCTAAGGACTTTTTTTTTTCCTCTTTTGTGCAACTCTAGTAAGCGGGAACTTACGAGGCTTAGTCAGAAGAGTAACACTAATAAAAGCAATACACCAGAAGCAGCTCTATTCTGCAATCAACCAGTTCTCCGCAGCCCAGGAGCAGCAGTCAAAGACCCATCATCTCAAAGCAACAGATGCCATTTTGGAAACAAAGAAGAAATTGCTACAACTATAGCTCCTATTTCAGATTAACTTTTCTTGTGAGATACTTTCAGACACTTTAGCTTTATCTATAGTCAAAAGGAAATGGACGCATAATAGCTTTGAGATGATGTGATAACAGCAGAAGGAAACTATTCAACGACCTAAAGAAAAAGGGTTGCATACTGCTCCAGTGGTACTCTCTTGAAGTAACTCACTCAAATTAAGGGGGTGGGGGGGAAGGTTCACATGCAAGGTTCTTCTGGATTAAATACTGTACTTCAAACTCATACTCCGTTTTATGTTGAAACAACTTCCTCCTGGACACCAAGTTTTTGCTGCAGTAATTCCCAAAGCCGCATCCCCACCCTCTGTTCCCCACCATCGCAGAGCTTGAGAAACCCTCAGTTACTCACTGGAAATCGTCTGTGAAACCGAAGTGGCTGTGGTTGTGGTAGAGGTTGTGGAAGACTGAGTACTCGAGGACGTGGACGGAGACGCTGCGGACGCAGGACTACTGGTGGTCGGTGTGGAGCCACCAACTGCCTGGGCCTGGGCTTGCGCCTGGGCTTGCGCAGCCAGCATTGGCGTCAGCTCCGACTGCTGAATAACTTTGACCCCATCTGGCTTAGTCCACGCTGACTCACGTGTACGCGCATTATAGAAATAGACCTACGATTTAAGAATGTCACCATCAAACAACTGCGTATCTGGAGGAGGAGCATTTATAAATGGTCCAGTTCCTCCTGTTTTAAAAATAATGGGTAAGAGGGTAGACGACAGCACAGGATTGCACCATGGCACAAGACTGCGTATGAAAACATGCTCCCAAGAGCAGCAAACACCCGTCACCTGGTTGTTTCTGGTAAACATCTTACCTTGCCATCTGGAGTTTTGTTTTCTACCCATATCTCTTCAGCTGGGGGCATTGCTGGTGTTCCAGGGGCAGTGACAGGCGGCATTCCCGGAGGGAACATCATACCAGGAGGTGGTGGCATGCTACCCATGGGAGGAGGCATAAATGGTGGTCTCTAAAGGCATATAATAACAATAATAATGATGATTATGATAACAACAACAACACAATTTTCAAGCAGAGTTTTCTTTTTTTTTATAGCACCAACAGACAGTACAACTATAGTAAGGTTAACTCTACCAGTCTCGAGAGCATCTTTAACCACCTAATGCGCTTCCGGACAAGCCACCACGTACAGCAGAACAGCTGCAGTAAGCATTTCACTTCTGAGATGCTAACATAAATGCAAAGTATCAGAAAAAAGTGGCATGAAAAGAAGTGGAGTGAGAGAACGCTCCTCTCCCGAAAAATCAAAAACATCCCAGTGCAAGAAAGAGAAAGAATGGAAGAACTGTTCCTGAATAACTGCCGGTCATGCCCAGCTGTGAATCGAATATACCACTGAACAGTTACACAATGACCTTCCCAGTGAAGCAATAAAAAAAAAATAAAAAATACAAGCACCCAATTTATTAGCTTAGCAAAGCAGTGGAATTCATGACAATCCATTATACTTCTTGATTTTCCATTAACTAAAATTCTAACTAGTGTTAATTCAAAAAAATAAAATAAATTATTACATTTTCATTACTGTATCACCATAAGAAATCCAGAACTGCCCTGCACACCACTGTTACCTGAAAGCCTGAACACCTGCTTTCTAATTCAAGGTACATTAAGTTCTTTTATTCTACTTGTTATGCACAGGAAATTTCAGAACACTACAAATAAACAAGTATAGCAAATACTTCCCTACAAAAAAGACAGTTGACAAAAGTTCTTGAACTTATTCTGCATACACCTACAACTGACCTAATTAACTCCATCACTCCAGTTCTAATTGAACTTGTGATGCAAAAGATTTCCTCTTCACGAAGGCAGTCCCAAGACAGCTCACTGGTAGAACCTTCTAGCTCTGCGCTCACAGCTGACAGGCCCGGGACTGAAACGCACGCTGCTGCGGCGAGAGTAGGGCTCTGCTGAAGGTAGGATGTGTGCAGGAAATCCAGCCTCACAGAAACAACAGAAAAGGCCATTAAGGTAACGATAGCCTTTCCTTCCTTATTTCGTCTCCACAGCTCCTCCATCTGGCCACGAGATGATCTTACTCTTTACTGATCTACAATCCGTAAACCGAACCCAGTAGAGCTCACTTTTTGCCTGCTCTTGCTGCTTTCCCCCCAAAAAGGGGTTAGGCTGTTCCAGGGCAGTGCTGGGAACGAGGAGGGGATGCCAGACGCACAGCCAGGGGATCCAGAACGCCCTCCAGCTCCACTCGAGGCACGCGCTCTCCTCCACTTCCACCACAGGACCTTTCAGCGTCCTGTCTCCCCTTGCACCACAAGCACGACGAGAAGCTAAACCCCAAACGTTCGGTGCAAAGCGGCGCACCGTGCTGATGTGGCGTGAAAAATTTAGACGTGCCTGGTGTATTATTAAAATTTAGACGTGTATGGTAATGAGTTGCAGAAGACATGCTTGCTGCATGGCATGATAAAACAGCTATGATGTAACAGCTGAGAGCTGAAGCACATTCAGAAGATACATCAAACACAAATCAAGGACCCTACAGCAACCAGGCTTGGGGCTTCAAATTAACTCTGGCTGATATGTGAAACTGCAAGAAGGAAGCAAGGTCCTGTTCTCCCCTCAGTTTTGGGTTCCGCTGCACACTCCGACACACTTCATCCCTTCAGAGCTTCCAAGGCAGCGCATGGGCACATCAGTGTCAATGCCAAGAGGGAAAAGGGGATCCTAAAGCACCAGAACAAAGGCGCAGTAGGTGGAAAAAAGTCTTAAATAAACTGAGCATGAAAACACACCATAGAACAAGGCGCCTAGTACTGAACGGAAGGAAGAGAAAAGATGACATTTAACGAGGTGAGTGGGGCTGTTTACATCCCTGAAACACACTGTTTCAGTCTTTAATTCCACAGGACTTTTGTTCAGCTGAGACTGTTTCAATGAAATGAATAGCTAGTTCACACCTCCCTGAGCAGTCCAAGTTCTAACAACAAGCTTTGTGTTCGGGAAGATGGAGGAAAACTGCTACGGAAAACACGCACTGGTTTCTTCTCGAAATCTTGTGCTCGGGACGATGATAGCACACAAAATTAAACTACAATTTGATGTCAGTTTATTCCAGACGAAGTCCAGCTTAAATCCTTGCTCCTGCTCTCACTGCTTCTTTGCATACTTTCATACCGCTCCCTCCACTTCACACAAAGCTGTCTGCAGAGCTACACCGTGAACCGATCTGCATGAGGAGTAACGCGGAGAAAAGCTCCCATAGCCCTGCTGCCAAAAACCATATGCAAAGCTGGGCCTAAAATACCATGAAACGACCCATGTCAGCATGTTCTCTTTCCATGTTGCCCACATACCCACATGTTAAAATAAATTTCACAGCACTAAAGTTTTCACTATTCTATTACGAATAGTGAATTTAAACCATTATTTATAAACCACATAGTACTATTCACCTCCTTACAGGCTGCCTGCAGTCCCACATAGTAATTACATCGCCCCAATAGCACTGTACTCCTACAACACTATTAAAACAATACATTTCTTATTCACAAACGTGTTGTACCTTTCAAACTGTCCGAGTCTCTCAAAAGTAGGCAAAAGAACTTAAACATAGATCACCGTGAACACAGACAGAAATCGACCTTACTTGGGGCCAACAGGCTCGTGCTATCCCTGCAGGTGCTAGGAATGCTGCAAGTTTAAAAAAAAACAACAAACCACAACAGAGAAGCTGTGGCTGCCCCTGGCTCCCTGGCAGTGTTCAAGGCCAGGTTGGATGGGGCTTTGGGCAACCTGGGCTAGTGGAGGGTGGCCCTGCCCATGGCAGGGGTGGCACTGGGTGGGCTGGGAGGTCCCTTCCTACCCAAACCGTTCTATGGTTCTGTGATAAAGAGCACTCTCTCTCTGCCAAGAGAAAACCGATGTCAGCACAAGGGCCACCTGCAGGTGCTCCAGTCAGATACTGAGACTACTCTTAGTTTTTTTTCCCCAAATGTTAAGTTTTCCTTTGTCAGTGTGTTGACAGTTTCTGGCGCATTACTAATGACGCACCACAGCGCTGAAACAAAACGCACCTCGTCGCTGATGATACGCCTACTTCTCAGAATTGCTACTGCCCACCTAACCAATCCCTTGGTGATCAGTAATAACAAACTACCACCGTGACGGCAGGCGTGGCTCATTCTGGAGGCTGCGTGGAATTCAGCTGCGCCTTCTCCGCCAGTCTCTGTGCACATCCGCCACTACCTCGCTAAGCGCACGCAGGCCGAACTAAGCCAGCCCCAGGAGGCTGGTGGGTACCCCACGCGCCTGCTCCGAGGCATTCAGAAATCTGAGCACAGCCGAATCCTGCGCTCTGCACGGCCACAGGGCACCCACACCAAGTCAGGTTTTAGTAAAGGCTCTGCTGGTGAGCGTATGCTAACTGCATAATTGATTAATTTAGAATTGCCTCAAGCAGCTAAACAGAAGCTGTGTTTACATACCACAGGTATGCATTAGTTTTACAACACCGTGCACGAGCCTTCTGTTTTTGTCATGCCCTGCTATTTTTTTGACTCCATTTTAATGTCTCTCCTCTTATGATTTCCACACGTGAAAACAAACAAGAAAAATCCCTAAATCCCAGCTCAACGAACCAAGAGAATCTCCCATGCTTTACCTGTAAATGCGGAGGTCCCATCGGCGGAGGAATCCCTCCTGGAGGCGGCATCGGAGGCATGTTTGGATCAAACGGAGGACGTCCGAAAGGGGGGCGGGGTGGTGGAGGAGGACCTCGCATCATACCGAAAGGTGGAGGGGGTCGCATGAGAGGCGGTGGGCCTCTCATGACGGCGTTTGGTGGGGGAGCCGGGCCGCGAAACCTCAGTGCTTGCTGCTGAGCCATTCTGTGGATAAGGCCAAAGGGAAACAGAGTTTATTTTTGTTTGCTGCTTAGCTGTAAGGAAAATAAATTCTTACAACAATCGGGGAGAAACCCTAATAAAAATTGAAAGGGTGCGGAAAAAACGCCAGGTCTGAATAAACAAAGTTAAGCGTGCAACTACTTCAATAGTTTCTTCCCCTTCGCAATTCTGGTTTATTAGTCCTCAACTGTTAATTTTTACTCGTGGAAATGAATAACCTACAGCTGGGATCGGGGCAGGCAGACACCGCAGGACCACAGCCGGACCTG